AAGAGTATTCCAGGTCACGAGAACAGCAAGTTTAAAGGCCTTGAGGCAGGAAAGTACCAGCTGTGTTCAAGGAGTCGTGAGGAGGCCAGTACAGTAGGAAGGGAGAGCTGCATCAGGGACCAAGTTATACCGGATAGAACAGGCCAAGATGAAGAATTTGTATTTTACTCTGAGTGAGATGAGAAGCCATTAGAAGATGGTGAAGAAGATATTAATACTTGTGAAACGATGGAAACATTGTGCATAGTGAGTACTCAAAAAACGCTGGCTTTTATTTTTACTTTCCTTGACTCTAAAGGTAATCTCCACGCTGCTTTATGATGATAGTGTTTTCTAAAATATGGCAGAAAGGATGGAAAGCAAATATAAAAATCCTGGTCTTACAAACTTTAGGTCCAATTTTAACATCCTACATCTACTAGAAGTTTGATCATTAGAAAGTTACCCTTTCTAATGAGGACCCAAAGTGTCCTCATTACACTTTAGGTCCTCATTTTCATTCTCAGCGATGTATTTTTAAAAATATTATGGGCCTTTTTGAAGTATAAAAATACATAGAACACTCAGCTTTAAGCAGTCATCAATTCATGGCTAATCTTTCTTTTATACTGTCATCATTTTCTTCCCCTTCCTTACAGTGAATTACTGCAAATCCCAGACATATCTTTTTATCCGTGAATGTATCTCTAAAGTATGTATCAATGTATCGCTGTAGTATGAATCTCTAAAAATAAAATCTTTTTTGTACTACTGTAATATCCTTATCACACCTACAGACTTAACAGTAATTCTTTAATATCATAAAACATCCAGTCAGTAATGAAATTTCCCTGGTCATCTCATGAATGCTTTTTAAAAATAGTCGATTTGTTTAAATCAGGATCCAAACATAGTTGGCACACTGCGTTTGGTTGATGGGTCTTATAAATCTTTTAAAATCTGACTATTCGCCCACCTTCTTTTTTTCCCCCTTGTCATTTTTTTTGTTGTTGAATCATTTGTTCTTTAGATGTCCCTCATTTTGGATTTTGCCGAATTCATCCCCATGGATTGTTGAATATGTTCTTCTTTCCCTTGTTTTTCCTGTGAACTGGCAGTTTGCTCCAGGGCCATAGTCAAGTTGGATTTTTGGGCAAGGCTCCCTGGTAGGAGGTGCTGGAGACTGCCTGGTGCATCCGTCAGGAGATACCTCCTGCCTTGCTGCTTGCTCTCTCTCTGTCTTCCCCACTGTGGTAAAATATCCATGACATCAAACTTACCATTTTAACCATATTAAAGTGTACAATTTGGTGGCGTTTAGCACAACACAATACTGTGCAACCATTACCACCCTCCAATTCCAGAAACTTCCCCATCACCCCAAAAGAAGCCCCGTGCCCATGAAATAGTCCCTCCCTATCCCTTCTCCCCATAGCCCCTGGCAACCACTAATCTGCTTTCTATCTCTGTGGGTTTCCCTATTTTGGATAGTTCATGTAAATGGAACCGTGTACTATGTGGCCTTTTGAGACTGGCTTCTTTCACTTAGTCTAATGTTTTCAAGGTTTGTCCCTGTCACAGGATGCATCAGTACTTCATTCCTTATTGTGACTGAGCAACGTTCCAGCGTGTGGATATGCCACCTTCTATCCATTCATCAGTCGATGGATGTTTGGACTGTTTCCACTTTTTTGAGTATTGTGAAGAGCGATGCCCCGAACCTTCGCATACAAATTTTTGTCTGATCACCTGTTTTTAACATTCTGGGGTATAGATCTAAGAGTGCCTCTCTTTCTGTGATGTTAGCCTGTGTTCTCATCCGTGGTGTCAGCCTGATCCACACACGATAATGTTCCTTGAAGACTTTTCGTCTGTGGATTCTAGCCGCGATTGATAATCACCGCCTACTTCGATAGAGGTCAAACGATTTTACTTTCAGTAAAATTAAACATTAAAGCTGCGCCACTTGGGGCAACCAAGTTCCTACAATTTTCTGAAGAAGAGGAGGAGAGTGCGGGATTGGTGTTTGCTGTGCATTCTGGAGCCCAGGCACAGAGAAGCTTGTTCAGCTTTGCTGAACTCTGTATTTCCCAAGTGTATTTGACAACAAACATTGTTTTCCTTATAATTCTTGCTATCCATTGGAACATGCTTTGGAGAATATTGTTTTAGTGTTAAAATAGTATTACTTATTAATATTGCATGTATCTCTTAGCTGTCTGGAGCCAACTTGACAAGCTTAGATCATCACTTAGTGGCCACAAGTTTACCACAGTCTCATTAAAGCTCTGGACAGCAGTCTGGGAAAGTGTTGCCTGGAAACTCTGAATTGAGATTATGTCCCTGGGAATGAATGTTTGAGCTAAAGAAAGGAGTAGCAATATCACTTATCACCTCAATCTAGTGCCTGATGGATGCCTGTGATAAACCTTAGAGAAGTGTCGTGCTAGTATATACAGTTCCTCTCTCTGCCCTTTATTCCGCATGACCTCCAGACCCTGTGTAGGGTGGTCCCTCTGGGTCACACTGCTTTGGACCCTGTCCCGCCCCCTACATGGTCAGAGTGGTTAGCCGATGCTAATCATAGAGGTCATGTCCAGAGAGGATCTAGCAAATTCTTTGGTAGACTCTCGAAGGTCAGCGATTTGACAGCACGCCATCACATGGCCTTGAGGAAGAAGTGTTCCCATTAATACATTTCACTTTCGGTTTGTTTTTAAGAAGCTATTACCAGTCAACTAGCTGTGCAGAATGCTGACTGTGGAATCTGCCCCTTTGAGGTCAAAGCAGAAGACGGTGTCTGTTCCCACTGTTAAGAGGGGTCAACCCTGTGCTGCTCAAAGTCAGCCAGGGTACAGCGTGGTGGTCCCAAGTGAGACGCTTGCTTTTAAGCAGGCTCCCAGTCAATAGCTGAGGACACAGGGTTAGGGTCAAGCCCCTGGGGAAGGGGGCTGGTAAGAACTGGGAAGGGTGC